CGCCTGTTCGATGTCGCTCTCCCCTTCTTGCCGTGGGCTTTTCGCCATGAGGTGCCGGTCCATGGTAATGGTAGCCAGAGAGCGAAGCAGTGTCAGGTCTAGTCGAAAGAGGCGCTCGGAATTCCAGTCTTCCCCTTCCCCAAAAAAGACAACTACGACTTCAAGTTCCGTTTTCCCTTCCTTCACATACGACATCCTCCAGTCTACCTACCGGCTTTGGCTGCTAAACTAGTGTACAGCTCGGATATCAACAAGTACCCGATCCACTAACCGATTCTGCCGTTGACTGCCCGCTGTTGCTGTTACTGTTGTGGTAACTGAAGGAGCTAGCTACACTGTCGGAGTATCTCGCCGGGACTGCACCGACAACTCCGAATTGTCGTACTCTGTATACTTTTCCCGACTCGCCAGTCGGCTCCTAAAAGGCTGCTTACACCTTCTCTGAATTCACTGTGTGGTATTTGTCAATCCTCACTGCAGATCTGTGGTTGTCACACACACACACACACACACATACCGCCTGGCCACCAGCATACCGCATCGAAGCACATCAACTCTTGGTTCCGTCCATCGCAAAGTACCGGACGCTGCTCGGCTTCACATCCATACCCGCCAGCTGACCCCAAGACCGAGACGACGATTCGACTTTACAAGAAGCTTGGCCATAATCGAATACAATCCCCCCCCCCCCCGTCACCAGTACCGACAGAGTTGGCTGTTCACCTACTGCAGCGCCGCACCACGACCCCGCCCTATTACTAGGCTTTGCGCCAGCATCCAACTATCATTGGAGCCCCGGTATCGCGGCTCGATATCGTCCAGGAGTCGAACCAAATTCATCCCGTATCGTTCGAGAATTCTAGACGAGGGCCCCCCTTTGGCGAATCACACGGCGCCCCCCTTGTCACTGGCGCTTGGTGACAGCCTTATTCCATCTCGATCCGAATGCGTGAGCGAGGCTCAGCAGTATTGTTGCGCCCATTCCTTCCAACAAGTCAAAGCTTATCCAACATCACCCTTGGGACCTTTGCGTCCCCCAATTAATACAACAATGGCCCCCGGTGTCCTCGAGAAGCCCGCCGAGGAGCAACAAGGAGGCGACTTGCACATGACCAACGCTGCTGACGACAGCTGTGTCGACCGTCTCACCTTGTTGAGGAGTATGCCGGAACCGCCGGTAGAATGTCAAGTGTGCGTGGTCGGCGCCGGCCCGGCCGGCCTGATGCTGGCTTGCAACCTTGGCCGTTTCGGTGTCAAGGTGGAAGTGGTGGATGACAGGGCAGACCAGACCCCAGTGGGGAGGTAAGTTCACACCGCGCCGTCATGATCACCGGGCGAGGAACAAGAAAGTGGTTGTCTAACTTTGTGCAAAATACAACAGAGCCGACGGTCTGCAACCCAAGACGATCGAGACTTTCCGCCAGATGCGCCTGGCAGATCCTCTACTACAACGCGGCGTTCGAGTGTACGACATTGCTTTCTGGAGGAGTACAACGGACGAACCGCTCCACCGCCTTGGCCGAGAAATTCACTATCCCCCTATAATCGATGTGCTGGACCCGTACATTTTGTTGGTTCACCAGGGCATGGTGGAAAGTCTGTTCATCGAGGACTTGAAGAAGCGAGGTGTTGAAGTGCGGAGAAATACCGCTTTCGACTCGTATAGCGTGTGTGACGGGAACAATGGGCCGCTCCAGGTGAACTGCCTAGCAAATGTCACCCAGGATCGCAAGACCATATTGACGCAATATTTGGTTGGATGTGGGTCTTACCCCTGAATCTCCGCTGCCGTTCTGCCGCTGGCCGCTGCTGGCGGCGGCGCTGCCCCTGAAAAGGTCTTCGCTTAATGCTAACATTGATTCCGTTGCCTAGGTGACGGCGCGCACTCCAAGGTCAGGAAAAGCATCCCTGATGCCAAGCCCATTGGCCTATCGCAGCCCTCGCTGTGGGGCGTCCTTGACGGCGAGCTCGATACCGACTTCCCAGACATTTGGTCAAAGACGTTGGTCTATTCGCAAGAGCATGGCTCTATCTTGATCATTCCTCGAGAGCGGAACATGACCAGATTTTACATTGAGCTGAAGAGCAGCACAAAGGGCGACAGAAACTTGCTGGGGCAGGAGTTTGTGATGCAGCGCGCCAGGGAAATCATGGCGCCCTTTAGTGTCAAGTGGAAGTACATTGAATGGTTTGGTAGGTACCAGATTGGCCAGAGAGTTGCAAACCGCTTCCAGGACCCTCATACCCGGGCCTTCTTGGCTGGTGACGCTAGCCACACTCACTCGCCCAAGGCTGCGCAGGGTATGAACACGTCGATGCACGATGCCTGGAATATTGGCTGGAAGCTGAATTTTGCCGCCCGTGGCCTTGCGAAGCCCGCGTTACTAGAGAGCTACGAACAGGAGCGGAGGAAGATTGCGCTGGACTTGGTCAACTTTGACTATGAGCACGCTAACCAGATTGCCGGAGGTGACGCTGTCGCTCTGGCTGAAAACTTCAAGACGAACGTTCGCTTCATCTCCGGCATTGGTGCGGAATATGGTGAGAATGCTATTAACATGGTTGAGCCGCAGTCGTGGGTTATGGGTGACGCCAAGCCCGGCTGCTTGCTCCCGCCCGCAAAGGTTACTCGCTACTTGGACTCGAATCCGGTCGATGTCCAGCTCGATATTCCCATGCTGGGCCAGTTCCGGATTTACCTGTTGATGTGGGATGTCCATCAGTCGCGCATCTTTTTGGATGGTTTCTGCGCGGCTTTGAACTCGCCTGATTCTTTGATGAACCAGCTCTCGGCCGCCGCGAACATTTCGTACGCCAAGCAGCCCCGTCTGCCAGCTCCTGAGGATATCTATCTCCGTCCGGAGCGGTATACGGCCGTTAGCCATTTGTTTACTTTTGGTTTGATCAGTAAGCTGCACACATCGCCCCTCATACGTCAACCCACTTAGCTAACGGTCTTTCAGCCACCATGCCCAAGTCTGAAATCGAAATAACCGACCTCCCCGCTCTCTTCCAAGACAGCCGCTGGACCTTCTACCTTGACGACATTCCCGAGCTCGACACCCGCGGCCAGCTGTGCACCAACAAGTGGCTTGGCAGTCTCGGCCCGGGAGAGGTGGCCATCGTCAACGTCCGTCCCGATGGGTATGTTGGCTCTATCGGCAGGTGGGACTCGAGCGTGGATGATGCCGGTGAGGAGGCGGCCAAGTGGCTTGACACTTACTATGATCGGTTTTTGCAGGTGCCTCCTTCTCCTGCGATGGATTAGGAGGTTGATGCGGAAGAAAAGGGCGTGGCAGGGGACGAGGATGAGGAGGAAGAGGTTTGGATCCGAAGAATGATTGTGTGTGGCAAAGGAATAACAGTCAAAGAGGTACAGGAGGTGGTCACGATTGACAAGGAGATTGAGAAGAGAAATATGGAGTCTTTGAAGGAGATAGTGGAGAAGCTGGCGGCGGACTTTGAGAATTGGCCCCAGAGAGAGAGAGAGAGATGGCTGGAAAGGGTGGATTATATCAAGAGGGAAAAATTAAGGTTGGAAAATGAAAGCAACATGGCTGAGGATAACGAGAACTGGTTGGAGGAGAGTGTTGGGAATTGAAGCGGCGACAGGGTTGCTGTTGCTCAGGAAAACGAGAGAAAAGAAAAAGAGAGAAACACGGAAATGAGCAGACTAACGGGAATGACCAAGACGCAGAAAGGACACCTATCAAAGGACCTCGCGGAGTAAAGGCGGACTCGTGAGACTAGGTCTAGGCGGGAAATTGTTTGGTGTATAGATGGTATAGGAAGAACCATTGAGGGCTGGGAGGCAGGTTTGTTTACTTTTCTACTCATGCTGGAAGGACAATCGGGAAGGAAGATGGGGGGACAGAGCACTGGAGGGAGCATTTTGGTGTGGGGGTGTCGAGTGAGGGAAATATCCTTCTTTTCGTCTTGGTTTGGGTTGAGTGTTATTTCGGATCCCTGTGTTGGCGGTGTTTGGTTTGGCGTAGAGGAGTTAGACTTAGTCCTGTCACGTAACCTGCTTCCTGTATGTATGTAACGGGTTGACGAACTAAAAAAGAATTTGAGGACTGGAATAGAGCTCTCGTCTTCGACATGGAAACCCGGAAATGAACATGAAAGGAATTTGGAGAGTGACTGATTGAAGCGTGCTTCAACTATGCAGAGGAGGTGGATGACTTTCACAGTCTGGGGGTTCCTGAACCCACATCCACCGGAGCGGCCTGTTGAAGGACGGTTCGTCTACAGCCAGGTTTCTTTATTGAAGTTTCTTGGCCTCTCATTGGTCAATTGCGTGGCACGGCCCTACACTTAGTCAGGGCGTCTTGCCAAGCCATGCTTTAATTAGCTACTAACTTCGCAGACACTGCAGTATCAACGACAGTCCGCGCTAGAATGCATTGGGCGGGTCCTTCCATTTCTGAATTCCCGGCTTCCAGTCACTCTCTCGATATCGCCTATCGATAAGGTTATCGTCGTCCTCTGCCATCGAGCAACGCCAATAAAGCAATTCCAATGAAGCAATGAAGTGACGTAAAGCAATTGGGTGAGGGCGGCTATAGCCGTCCGAACAAGGAACGGTACAAGAGATGGAGATGCCCACGCTTCAACGAATACAGCGGGCGTTGCTTGAACTAGGGATCCAGCATCGCATCGGTGTCTGAAAACTATTTTGTATGATATGCTTGGCCAGTCATTGTGTGTGTCTTTCTGAGAAACAGTAGAGGCGTAAGTGTTGTAGTGGAAGACGTTACAGAAGAGCAAGCTACCCAAACCTACCTCAACCGATGGTTAAAAATTACCGTATCCTACCGAAATCCTTGTTGTATATCCTGTCTGGTCCTGTCTTACTGATGGTTTTGTTCGTGTATTCCACCCATAACACCGTCACTTTTAGTGTATCAATCGATGCCCAAAGCGAAAGAAAAGAAGTGAAAAAAAGAGGACGACAAACCAAGCGTCATAACCACGACAGCCCAAAGCGGAAAAAACTACTAAAACCTGACAACAGTAATCCTTCCCTCCTCATCCTCTCCCAGTACCCACCTCTCATCACCCGCCAAATATCCCCTCCTACCCACCAACTGGCTCCACATCTCATCCGCAAACTGCACTTCCTCACCTCTCCCTCTCTCTGATCCCTCCCCTCTCTTATGCCCCTTATTCCTATTTCCCTTCTTTCTCTCACTTCTCCTATTATCATTATTGTTATCATCCTCCTCCCCGTCCTTCTCCCCAACCTCCATGTGCAAAGGCAAACCAGGCTTCACAGAAATACAAGCATTCCTCACACAAACACTAACAGTCTCCAACATGAAACAATGCCTGGCCGTGATCCTCACCCCCGCAGCGAAATCGACCATTTCTGCGACGGTCAGGTAGGGGAAATCTTCGTGGCGCCAGCAGGGGGCGAGGCCGGGGAAACGTTGCTGGTTACTTGCTTTTAAGAGATCCTCCAAGGATTGCTGGTATGTGCGGCGGCGGGAGTTGGGGGATGTGGTGAGTGGAGGAGAGTGAAGGGGGGATATGGAGAAGTTGAAGGATTGGGAAGAGGGAGAAGGGGGACGGGAGCGAAGGTGATGCAGGAGGGCTTGTTGGTTGGAGAGGATGGTGTGGAAGGAGCGGGATGAGGAGGAGGAGGGGGGGGAGAGGGGTGGGGAGGGGGGAAGTTGCTGCCGATCTTGGGCCTGAGGTGTCGTGGAAAAGAAGGAGGATGACGGGGAGGCTGAGGAGGTGAGTGGAGAGATGGAAGTAGAATGATGTGCCCGTTGACAGAAGGACATATTCACATCCCCATCTGCACCACACTGGTCCACCCATACTGGCCCATACACAGCGTCATTGATTGTTGAAGTGAAAAGAGCCTGGTAGTAATGCGCATGAGACGGCTTAGCCCCTCGCTCCGCACCCTCCTTGACGGATGACGACAAAGGGATAGATACAGCCGGCGTGCAAGGCATGATAGGAATACCCGTGCACTTGACATGATGAACGCGAGGCGGACTAAGAGAGGAATGTTGGCCCTCGGCCCAGCGGTGTTCTTCCTCGATGAAATAGAGGTTCCGATCGTCGAGCGAGAGATTACGCAGCTGTGGGTTGGCGCGCTGCCGTACGCCGTAGAAGTCGAGTTCACGCCAGGCCATGCGGCGGATTACTTGGGGACCGGTGGTTGCTGGAATGCGGTCTGGTTCGGGGCTGGCGCCTTTTCTTGCTTCTTCGGCCGCTGTTGTTGTTGTTGTTGTTGTTGTTGTTGTTGTTGTGGTCGTCGTGTGGGTTTCTCCTCCGTTCCACAAGCCGGCAGACATGGAAGTCGTCCGATTACCGGCTGGTGGCCGGTTGTGTCCTGTAGGATCCTCGGATGGACGGTATGGACTTGGCGAGGAAATGTCCCAGACAGCGAGCTGTTCGATGGGATCATCCTGGTACAACGAGCGGTTGGGTTGCCAGAAGTAAACGGCGTAGTGTGTGGCTGTGTGGGCGGAGAAGAAGCGGTCGGATCGGTTTATGGGAAGACCAAGGAAATGTAGCTTCCATTCTGATCGGAATTGGATGGTCCACGTCCAGGCAGATGGGGATGGTGTTCGGACGACGTCGAAAGTAGTTACAAAATGCCGATGGACCACCTCTCTGTCGTTGAGCTGGTGGTATGGATGCTCTTCAGCCCATTCGAATATCAGAACCCCCTGGGCGAGACGGACTCGACGGATATGTTTTCGGCGTACATCGAACGGAACGGGGATTTGGGTTCCAGTCGCTGGGTCGAAGATTTGATAAACATATCCATGGGCTGGATCTGATGATGGAGTATTGGGCCTGTCACGGACTTCTGCTGGGTAGACCAGCACTCCGTCTTCTTGACTGTACCACCACGCGGGATCGGGGTAATGAAACTCGGCCGTCTTTTCCTCCAGACGCAGGAAACGGTTCCAAGGAGCGACTCCCTTGAAAGAGAATGGGGAGGGTCCGGTATTTTCACGGCTTGGCCGAGCCATCTGAAGCTTCTCAACAACTCGGGCCGAGCCTTGACGGAGATGGTGATAGCGTCTGGCCACGAGAGCAAAACTTTCGGGCCATGGTGGGAGGTTACGAGAAGTACATGATATCTCAACGGCGAGATTGCTGTTGATGTTCTCAAAGTCTGAAGTTGATGCTAATGGTAGTAAGGCAGTGGTTGAGGCCAGACGCATCTCACGACATTGTGGAAAGTTCCATCGCATCAAGAGATACGAAATGTGTTCGTCGGTGAAGGCGGCGTGCCATCTTCGAGAGACAGAGCGAGAGAGGACGCATGTTCTGGGAGAGAGGTAAGAGATGACGAGGAGGAAGAGATCGTGTGGTAGGTCAACGATGTCTCTCATCATGAAGGATGATTCTCATATTCAGAGGACTGAGGATTCTGGGAAGATGAAGTGGTCAAGTGGATGGCTGGGAGGAGGTTTAAGACTACGGCTTCTATTGATTCTGACAAAATTGTTGTGATGTGATTGACAATGGAAAGTTTGTGATGGCATCCTATCATGAGATTAGCGTATCATTAAGAGAGGGGTTGCTGGGGGCTGCCTAGACCACCAACGGACGAACAGGGACATGAACGGCGAACATGAGCGAAGCGCTGGGGGGAAACCACAGAGGACTCGAGGAGGATGTTTTTGCATGTCACGGCAATGCAAGCCATTCTTGGCATTCAGGTTCGGCTTTTTGAGCATCCGACTGTCTGATTCTGTGTTTATGTTACTGTTGTCTACCTACCCGAGCTACCTAGTATGGAACAAACGAAATGGTAATCTGGCAGGCAGTGACCTACGTACAAGTGCCATATCATTTGGAAACAAGTAAAGACTCACAGTCGGGTGTTTTGGAGTGTCCCTCATTCTTCGAGTTTGGTGTGCTGATTTGATCCCATCATGTGAGCTGAAGTTTGTTATTTTCGCGGGTCTCGCCGGGTGGAGAGAGCGCGAGGTGGTTCTTGACTCCATCAACTAACTTCTCAAGCCTCAAAACTTTTATCGAGCTTGGACCGAATAGTGTAGAGATCGCCAAGGAGCCAAGACCGTGGCGTATAGCCCTACGAGATCCCAACAAGATCGGCAGAGTTATCGTTTTGGATTCGATATGGTCATCCGTTCTGCTTTTTTTCAGGCACGACAAGCTCCAAGTCCCTACGTGCATGAGAGTGCATTGGAATTGGGTCTGTAGGGCAGGGATTTGTTTTGTTAGGGCGGGAAAAATGGGTCCTATCGATGTGAGGGCTATTTCACCGCCGAATTGACGGGGAGACCAGAAGAGCAACCAGGATGCCCGGTATGTTCTATCCAAGGGAAAATCAGATGGGTTCGTGGCAGACGTGCCCCTGGGGAGTGACAGAATGGACGCTTGATTGCCCAGTACAATCGTATTGCCTGGTCTTCGAGTGTGTATGGGCTGGCCTAGGTAGCCAACATCGGTGTCTCCAAGTTTGAGATTGTGGAGGAGAGCGAGGGTCTCGTTAGTGTCCAGACGGTCGTCTGGCACATCGTGAGGAACATTCTGGAGTTCGGCTCCATGTACTTTCAAGCCAGAAGAACTCTTTGAATCCTCAATGGGCTGCCTTGTATTTGGTGTTGTTGTTCTTCTGATATCGATTCGAAACAGACTTCGGAACACGCACGTGCCTCCACTGGATGCAGTTAAGCTTTTCTGCACTCTCCACTCCTGGGGCTGGGGGCCGACCCTTCCTCCTCTCCTCCACCACCGTCGTCCACCCTGCGTTGACATTTCTTGGCAAGCCAAGCACGCCCGACCCATCAACTCCCAGTCCCAGCGGCAACTTACTTCCAGGCCTTGTCCAGCCCGTCGCTGTCACTGTTGCTGTCCACTGTCCGCCAAAGTGTCCAGCCTTGGCATATGCAACCCCCAGAACGCAATTAAGCCTTCTCCGTCACTCAAAGATCTCTTGGCTTTACGATCGATAACCGTCTGTCCTCGCGTCAGGGGCATCACCAGCATCACGGCCAATTCCACTCCGACGAATCCGAGTCCGATTGCCCGACACTGAAGGTTGCCGTCGACTGTGGTTGCGCGCCGCTAAGAGTTTGGACAGTGGAGGTGTAGCGACAACCAACCCGGACGCCCCGAGGGCTGCCAACACCAAAGGCACTACCCACCACCACCACCATTACCATCACCACCATCACCATCGACCAGCAGCACTCAACCAACCCTCGCGCGCATATTCCTACATTCGAACCGGGTGCCCGCCCACATCTTGTCGACTTGTGCCCCGTCGCGCATGCGGGTTCGAGCCCTGCGCTGATTCCCGAATGCGACGGCCTTGAAGGAACTCCTACTTCCCGCTCCTCTCCATACTACTATCCACGACAACAACCCGTATCCCGTCCTCAACCCTACACGCATAGATGGGCCCCTTCTCGAGCGCTTCCGACCGCAACAGTGCCGCCGCCGCCACCGCCGCTCCTGCAACTGCGACGCCATCTCCCCTCTCCAAAACACCATCTGCCGCCACGTCCGACGATTCCTCGACCAGCAAAAAGTTGCTGAAGCGCCTTAACATCCTCCCTCTCCGGTCACGCACTCGCAATATCGCCGACTTCCACATCCGACCTGACGATCCCCACCGCAAATACAGTGCCGGCGACCATGTGCAGGGCGCCGTAATCCTGACCGTCGTCAAGCCCGTCCGCATCACGCACCTGACCGTCTTGCTGCACGGCTACGTACGTGTCTACAAGGGACCTGGCGCCCAAAACAACGAGCCCGTTCGGAGCCCGGCCGAGATCAAGAACATTAGCAGCCGAGGGGAGCGCAAGAAGTACTATAACGGCTATGCGTCGCTCTTTCAGGATGAGCAGGTTCTCAGCTCCGATGGCCGGCTGGAGCCCGGAAGATACGAGTTTAATTTCGATCTACTCTTTCCACAAAATGGTCTCCCCAGCAGCATTGATGTGCGTACTATCAGCTCCGAACTAGACACCATGGTTGTCGCTAATTATTATCCAGTTTGAACGTGGCACGATATCTTACATGATTACAGCAACGCTAACGCGCCCGACTTCGGTAGCCCCAACGACCAGCTGTGAACGCAAAATCTACTTGATGGAACAGCTGGACGTTGGACCGCTTGCTCCTCCCAAGGCCCAGACTGTGGACCTCCGACCCATTTCGAAACGAGCCAAGAAGAAACGACCAGCCGGTGGAGATAGGCGCTCTGTGCTATCGTCAGAACGCTTGTCTGCTGAAGTACCAGCCGAACCATTGTCCGATGGAGATTCAGCAAGGATAAACGACACATCGACGGAAGGATCTCTTTCGATAGTCGGTGATGACGTTGGTCAAGAGGGCTCTAGCCAGGCTCCACGGAGTGTCTCACACAGTGAGGCGCGAAGTCTCAGTGGCGATAGCGCCGCGAGTCTCAGCACGCACCCGAGCAGAGCATATAGCGAGACCAACCAGCTAGCCATTGTTGGGTCCGCAATGACAGGGAAACGGATATCATTTGCCGACGAACGGACCATCAAGTTGAGAGTTGAAGTGCTTAAAGGTGGATGCTTACCCGGCGACGTGATACCCGTCAAGGTGTCGGTTAATCACATCAAGATGATCAAAAGCATGCATGGTGTCATTGTTACTCTGTTCAGACAAGGGCGCATCGACTCGTCCCCGCTTCAGCTCTCCAAAGAGGATTGGAAAAAGTCGGAATCAGACGACTATTATTACCCCAAATCCAGGACCGGTCTCAGCGGCCTTTCCCTGTCGTCTGCGGGTTCCTGCAGCATGTTTCGAAAGGATCTATCACAAGCATTTGCGCCTCTCATTACAGATCCGGTGAACTTTTCTGCTACCTTGACGACATCAGTCCGAGTACCAGAGGACTCTTTCCCCACTATCAAGGGTGTACCCGGGGAGATGATCAGTTTCAGGTACTTCGTCGAAGTCATCGTGGACCTGGGCGGCAAACTCGCCAACCATCTACAAGGTGGTGCGTCTTCCGGCTCACGAGTGGGGGCCACTGGTGTGGTAGGGAATCCTTTTGAAAATGTTGGCACATTGCCATCGTGGGGGGCGGCAGGGAGCACAAGTATCCTGGACACAGATCGCCTTAAAAGGATACAAGGAGTCATTCCAGGCTACTACGAGGTCATTGTCGGTACGACCGACAGCAATAGGTCACGAGGAAAGGGTCCCCAGAGGCCCAGCCTTACGCATACACCATCTGTAACAGGCGGCTCCAACTACGTGGAGAATGAGTACAATGAAAAGGGAGGCTGGCCGAACAGCATGCACGACGATGATGGATACGGTCCCGAGTCTGCAAACCCCCATGATGACTATGCGTCGTACCCTCCACAAACGACTTACCCACACGGCGATGTCCATCAACCACCTTACTGGAATTACGTTCCAGACTCATCACAGCATGAGCAAGCGATACCCGCACCTCACTATATACCACCGCCCGACTTACCTGATGAGAATAGTCTTACGGAAAAGGAGCGCATCAGACGTGCCGAACAACGCTTGCTACCCAGTCAACCACCAATAACGGCAGCATCATCATCATCGTTCTCTGCCGCCGTGCCCTCACCATCCGCGTCCAACCACGCCCTGGACTTGTCCTTACTACTAAACGGGGACAACATCTACGATGCAGAAGACGACGTACCAACCCCAGCCGCCACACCCGCAACCGCATCACCATTCGACCACGCTCTCGCTCCGGTATACACACCCACACCAGCAGAAGACCTGCCATCCGCGCCAACCCTTGAAGAGCTCGACCGACCACCACCAATATCCAGAGGACCCTCGCACCACCCTTTAAGCGCCACTGAAGATAAACAGGAGCTCGAACGGAGAAGGCTGTTAGCCGAGGCCAGCGCACCGCCCGAGTTCCCAGAGGACTATATTCCCGACGAAGGCGGAGGACCTGTAACCCCAGCGGGACCCTCTGGCTCAGGAGCAGGACCTTCCGCGCCACCCTCAGCTCCACCCGTAGCCTTTGAACCCTCAGCTCCCGTGCTTTTCGAGAACGATGAAGATTATCACGGTGGTGGATATACCGCCGGTGGCCCCCGCTTTCCTAGCGCCGCTAGCGGCAGCGGCGGTCACGAAGAAGAAACTGTGCCAGAGTATACCTACAATAATCATCGCCCTGGGTCCGTAGGTACATTAACGGTTGTTGGTAGTCCGTCGTCACCAGTACTAGCACCTGCATCGGCATTTTTCCCGGCCTCGGGCTCGGGAAATGCGCACGATTCGCTACGGGAACAGGAACAGCAAGCAAGGTCGGATTCTTCTAGCCCGCCTCCTATTGAGTATCTGCCGCGGTACGAGCGATAATCGATAATTGGTCATTGGTGGGTGGCGGTCTCGAGCGGTAGAGATTTTGGGTATGATGTTTTGTTGCTTGGAACGATGGTTGGTTGAAGCACGGGTTATAGGCGTTTTTTTGGCTTCTGATATATATACCTTGTATACCTTCTTCGACATCTATGTCTTGGCCGAGGAGTCATGGACGAATGTAAGAGAACTCCATATAATATAGAAAGAACACTAGGAGTATAATACACACACATATACACACACATGTTTCTATATATATATATAAAGAGGATAACAGCGTCGTGTACGCGAGAAGAGGCTGAGATTGCAGTAGTGTCTGTCTATTCACAGTTTCAACCCTTTAAATTACCAGCTTGTCCGTGTTTTTGTAAGCTTCCAAGGATGAAATTTTGCATACCGTTGTGTGTGACAGTATGTGAATGCCAGACTGGGAAGTGTATTTGTATGTGTAGAGTTTGCATAGACGTTCAATAGCGGGTGAAAAGTGGTTGAGAAGAAGGCGAGGGAAGACACGGTTATAGGTACCGTCGCCGGCTACCGGCGGGCACCTGCTACTGTAGGTGGAAAGTTGGCGACCTAACGAACAGGGGCTCTGCATAAGTGTGGCAATAGCTATAGGAATCTCTCAGGCGGCGTCAGTTTACTAGGTATGCTTCGATACCACTTGGTCAGAAGCGGCGAGCTGTCGGCCTTGTAGTAGTAGTAGTTGGAGTCGTAACAAGACTCGCTCTGGAGGCAGAAGCATCTTTTAATGGAGTGCATGAAGTCGAAAAGATAAAGATGGATAGTGGTAGTAGTGAAAAGTTCGAATGCTGGGCGTACTGTGTAGTGGTTGGACACTCCGCAATATCACCACACATGAAACAGGAAGTAATAACGTGACGGCTGGATTTTGGAAAAATTCGAACGTCGTTCCATTGCAGAAATCATCCGGTCTTTCTAGGATATTCTGTTTAAGGGAAGGATGAGTGTCCTCTCCGCGTTCTTTCTTTCGTCACCCGCCGTCCAAGTCAGGGTTAGGGTAGAAGAGTGAGTACCTATTTAGTAGGTAGTATTCGTATATTGGTAAGCTGTGTACAATAAAGGATTTTCGTGAATTCTTTAGAATGGTAAGGCTTGACGGTCTTGGGCTGAGACTAAACACCGAAGAACTGCAAGTAGCGTTGTTTGACCCTAAAGAAATTGTTTGTTGACTTCGTAAGTCGATAAAAGGCGACTCGATCCATCATTATGTGCCACACTTTTGAGTTGACAATCATAGAGGTTCCTACCCACAAGTTTTATCAAGTTCTCTAGAGAAACACAAACCAAGTTATTATACCGAGTACTATAAGCCCCATTGGTTGCGCCATAACCAAAGGGCGAGCATACAACAAACTTGACACTGCATCCTCCAAACCCTGTTCATTCTCATCACGGTAAATGCATTTGGGCACTTGTAGGTAGGCTACAAGTGTGATCACAAGCCAAAAGTCATGTGCTCATTGTCTCTTCATGATGTCAAGAGGTAAAAGAAGCCTTTGACTTGACGTTTAGCTCGTCACGTTCGAACGCCAAGTCGCCTCCGAATCAAACAGAACCCGATTTCTTATTTGTTTTCATAACCGCATGGCAATTATACCCTCCATGTGGCCCTCCAGTCCCGTTGTATATCGCTTATGCCTCTTCCATCATGTGGCCGGAAAACCATTCCTCACTCCTTCTCCACTGCCAACCTCAAATCACCCTTTAACCCAGCCAATTCCATACTAACACTCTCATGACTCCTCAATGACAAACACGCCGCCCTTTGGGCCACATCCACCAGATTCTCAACCCGTCCACCCATCGCCAACCCCGCCACCAATACGCCCAAGAACGTATCTCCAACACCGTTGACACTAACCACATCCTTGACCGTCTCCACTGGCGGAAACAGCCGCATATAGACACCACCCACATGCGGATGATCATTATAATTCCTCGCCAGAATATACGGCGCATGATGGCTGTCCTTCAGCAACGGATCCCCCGGCTTCAGCAGCATAGTAACCAACGCGCCCTTCGCTCCCAGCTTCGTGATAATCGTCGGGATATATGGCAACAGCTGGATATTCTGCTGGGGCAGGCCCATATCAGTGATCTCCGCGCTCGTCAGTCGTACAAACTTGTCCCTTGAACCGTGCATGCCAAACGTGTCGATGACTTCGAACCAGCTGTGCGTAAAGTACTCGTTCCTCGTCGCGGCGCCATGCATGGCTGAAAGCTCGTACTGGTTTGGCGACGCGAGATCAACGCTGGCGTTAGGGAACAGACGCAAAGGTAGCTGGCCGCCCTGCTTCGGAGCGGCAAAGAGGCGCTCGGATTTGGCAGCCGAGACGGGCTCGAAGGCGACGCGGGCACCGTGCTTGCGTCCAGCTTCGATCCAAGTTTGGATGTCCGCTTCGGCCCAGTTACCGTCGACGACGAGCCATTTAGGCTTGGTGGCGGCTACGGCGGAGTTCCAGTACGTTGGGAATGAGTGGTTGGAGAAGATAGCCATGTCGGCCATGGCCATGACGAGGTTCTTATCGGCGTCATTGACGGCAACGTATTGGGCTGTGCGGGTGGAAGGGTATTCGCGACCCAGCTTGCGGATGCAGGTGGTGTCAAGACCGGAGGATTCGAGGTTGGCAAGGATGGTGGCGCCCGCGCTGGGTTGGGGGGAGGGTGAGTCTTTACTGCGAGCGGGATAGGGAGGGGGGGAAAACGACTTACATGTCGTCACCAACCATGCTGCAGAGCCTCACTTTGCCATCCTCGCTGACTTTGTGAGCGGCAAGGGCTACATTGTGGCCTACACCTCCGACGGATTGGGTGATGTGGGAGGGATTAGAGACGTGAGCCAAAGGCAACACTGCCTTGTTGCCCTGGGCATCAACCCCACCGGCATAGTCACAGCTCAAATCGAGGGCGACCGAGCCAGCGACTAGGATGTCAGCCGTGCTAGACTATATATGGTAGGTTCATCATCCAGTCAGTAACACGGGAGTTACTGGAAGGGTTTGAATTACTGAAACCAAGGCTAGATCTTACCTGTTGCTGCTGTGTGACTTTGGAAGGCTCAGGCTTGTTCTCTACTTTCACTTTGCGAATTCCAGGAGACTGAACTGTGAACCTGATCAACTCTACGTTAATAAGGTGTGGTTTAGCTGGCTTATGGAGGTTGTAATAAAGTGCTTACGCAGCAGCCTGGGAAGAGCGGGAGCCGCCGTCCATAAGCTTACTGAGCTCCACTGCTACCTTAGCAGCCCGCGCAACGTTCGCCTGAACCAGGTACTTGTTGGCAGGCACACTGCGGCCCTCGGTCAGCTCCCTGATTCTCCTGAGGATATACGGCGTGTTCTCTGCGCCGCTGAAACCCTTCTCGTCCGCCTCGCCTACGGCAACGCTGATGGCGTGCTCCATGTCCTGCCTAGAGATGGCGTGCTCCTCCGGAATGGGGTTGGCCAAGAGAAGACCTGTCTCAATGTTGAGCTGCTCCTGGGCATAGATCATGGCCGCGGCTTCGGCCTCGTTTTGGATCACTGAAGGGCTCTTGATGCCGCTTTCACGGGCCCAGAAGGCAGGGAAGTCAATGTTTCCTTGTTGCCCGTCTGCGAACGTGGACACCAGAACCCCTTGGGTCTCGAGGAACTCGAGTGTCCTGGGAATATCGAGAAAGCCCTTGCAGCCACTGCTCACCACGGCGACACGAGTTCTTCCCAGTTCGGTCAAGTCGGCCGAGATATCCATGGAGTTCTCGCCGCCCTTATGAACACCACCAAGTCCGCCGGTACCAAATACGCGGATTCCGGCAAGTCTAGAGAGCACCATAGTTCCAGAAATGGTAGTACCACCATGAATCTTGGTTCCCGTAAGGCCCTATAGGAACACCAATGGTTAGCAAGCTATGGCCTCCCTAAAGTTGATATCCAAATTAGTCACTGGACCTCATGGTAACCGAATTACCTTTCCCACCAGATATGCAAGATCGCGTCTAGAAGCCTTCTTTGCACCCTCGTGAACCATTCTCGCCACCTCCTCAGTGCTTAGACCAACTGTAGGCACACCGGCAAGGATACCGCAAACAGCAGGGACAGCTCCATTTTTGCGGACAATGTCCTCGAGGTACAGATCGTCTCCGAGGGCGCCATGGGTGTAGATGGTGGACTCAAGAGCAACGACGGGCTTGTTGGTGGCCAGGGCGTCGGCAACTTCAGGGGAGATTTTGAGGAGACTGGCGAGTTGAGAGTCTGTGCTTTTGAGGCGTCGTTGGACGGTGTTGAAACAGGGTTGACGGGCACACTTGAGTCGCGAGCCCAGTAGGGCTGAGCTGACATGGTGGGCCCGGCTGAGGAGGTGTTGCCGAGCTGTCATATTGATGACCGGTCACTTGAGGCGCCAGAAAGGATTGAGAGTGAGGATCTGTAAAACGCCTTGGTTTCCTCCTGTCGGCTGCTCCAGGTATCTAGTTGTTGGTTAAAGTCTTTTGAGCTCTTCCAGGCCTAACCGCAAGTTGATGATCACCGGCAGTGAGTATTCAAGATGCAAAAACAATAATAACGGAAGATCCTCGGGTGACGGAGTCAAAAGTTGCAAGATCAGAAGAACCTGACGTGTAAATGTATTGAAACCGCCGTGATGACTGACTGATCCGTGGTGGATCGACGCCAATTGCTGTTAGCAAGAGAGATACTTATCTGATGTTGTGTTGGTGGTTAAAATGACCATGGGGTAAGCTGATGTGGACCCCACCCCCGCCATTGAATTCGAACGGAACGGACTGAAAGAATGGATGCCAAGCGATAAGATACTTGGGGGGTTCTGGGCGCCAAGGCTTCCTTTCCCCCCTCTTTTTACCCTCTAAAGAGGGGGCGCGGAAAATTTGGGACAGCAATTAAATATGGGACACTCCACATAGAAATTTACTAGCAAAGTAACCCATCTACATACTCAACACCCATATTATATATTAAAATTTATTAATACAACGTCGTTAGGAAGCCCAATAAACTACCCAAATAGGAAGAGTATATATATAATAA